ACCTTACACAGAGGTACAGACAGAGGCAGAGGTGGAGAAAAACATAAAGTGATAGAGCAACTGATGATGGACTGATCTACAGAGGGAGATAAAATGGAGAGATAGATGGAGATAGAGACAGAGGAACAAACAGAGAGACTGACAAAGTGAAATATCTATAAAGGAGTGAATGGGGAGATGAATGACCAGATAGAGATCTACAGAGGGAAAGATAAATGGAAGAGAGATGGAGATAGTGACCGGATAACAGAGAAATATAGCGGGATAGATGGAGTACAGACAGAGGGGTAAACAGGGGGACAGAAGGAAAGATCTACAGCAGGAGAGAGATAGAGTAAAATGATGTACACATGGCTACATCTATAGAGTCAGATAAGAGGGGTAAAGAGGGATATAGGGTTAAGTTAGATCTAACCTACAGAGATAGAGGGGTAAACACAGCGACTGAGTGTTACTACATCTATAGAGGGAGCGCAGCAGGGCGCCCGGGACTCGTCTACTATTGTTTTGCTCCAACTGCGCCTTTTCAAATATCTCTGTTGATAAAGCAGACTGAAGCAGGCAGGCCGGTAGCATGAGTGAGCAGCGCACGGACGGCGTGTGAATGTGCGTGTGTGTTTAAGAGAGAGAGTTTCTCACCTGGAATAAGTAAGAGCTCCAGCTCTGCTCCATCATCGCGTCTCACTCACAGAAACAAAGCGCTCAACATGGCAGAGCGAGACTTCCGCCACCCCGCGGAACGTACCACTCGCGGGAGGGGGGAATACAACAGCAGTCTGAATTATTTAATGAATAAGACACTATTCAGTTTTACAGTATGGTACATTATAAACATAATTACACATACTTTGTGGTACAAGACACTTTGTCCATGCGTTGAGAGTAAATCACATGACGTACTGAATTTAGTAATTTCCACAGCACCCCTGTTTTTCATCTCAATCTCGTCAGACTCTCGGGACGCTCCAAAAAACAGGAGTGAAGTTGATGAATAGCGTGGAACTGTCGCGAGACTGGTCATAACTCACTGCGCGAGACTGACTGCAGGATTTATCTGCATTTACGATTAGACATGCTCTATCTGTGTATGTACATGTAAAGTCTATTTCATACATTTAAATACAACATTATGCATATTAAGGCTTAATTTATCTGCCTAGTAATATTGGGGATTTTGATTAATTTAAAAGACATGAATCTTTTCACTAAAAAGATTCGTTCAGATTCGTTCATTGATTCATTCAGTGTCCCAGTCTGTAGGTTGCTCCAGTAGTGAATGATTCATTGAATTAACCGAATTGATGGAATCAAGCATCCTCAGCACGATGCTTTCGGTCATTCAGTTCATTCATGAACGAGATGTCCTAGTAGTAGTTCATTCGGTTTGTTCACAAACGAGATGCTCTGAGATGAGTCATTGCATGGAAGTTCATTGCATCGACTCGTTCGTTTAAAAGATTCGTTCAAAACACCGAAAGACCAGATGCAGCAAACCTACATGGGACAGAGTTGTGTGCCCCTTTTAACCTGATTTATTCCTATAAATCCCCCAGCAGACACACGAGAATGATTAGCTGAAGACGCAGAGACAGCCCGGTCTATTTTAGGATCGTTTTATAATTAAGAGAGCTAGTCCTGAACTGAATTAACTTAATAACCCGATTTATTATCAGCGGGGTGCCCTTCTAATAGGTCACAAAGAGATTAAAAGGTCATGCTTCATAAGACTGTTTTTCCAGTCGTATAATAGCATTTGCGTGGCTACCAAACATTAAACGTTAAATGCTAGAGGCATTTAATTAGGCTTTGAAGTGGCCAGTTTTGAGCACTTCGGTTTGGAACAACCCTTCAATATGGCGGCCATGATTGTTTTTACTCCGAAGTGCCCTTCGGAGGGCGATATATCCCGTTTGGAACGCACCGTGGGTCAGCGCCGCCACACGCTTGCGTCATGATACTGTCATAAACGCGCGTCCACAAGTGTGAAAATGTGGAATAAAGTCGTTATTTTTGTTTTCTTTGCGCAAAAAAGTATTCTCGTAGCTTCGTAACTTTACAATTGAACCACTGATGTCACACGGACTACTTTGTCGATCATCTTGGTACTTTTCTGGACCTTGAACATGGTAGTTACCTTGCTGTCTATGGGAGGGTCAGAGAGCCCTCAGATTTCATCAAAAATATCTTAAATTGTGTTCCGAAGATGAACGAAGATCTTACGGGTTTGGAACAACACGAGGGTGAGTAATTAATGACAGAATTTTCATTTTTGGGTGAACTAACCCTTTAAGTTAAGATTTCAGTCTTTCAATTTGTAATGTACATTAAATAATAAAAAATATAAATAAAAAATTAATTATTTTACTAAATATATTAATGACATCTTTTACTTTTAATACAGCTCCAATATTCTGGCATTCTTTGTGTTGAAGGTTTTAGAATAGGTTTTTATGGAAAAAAAAAAATTTCTGAGTGCAACAAAAAATTAAATAAAGTAGTATTAGGAGTGAAGAACTGTTTTGTGCAGAGAGCTGTTTGCCAACTGTTATATTTGACCAACTATGACACTGGGGTTGCATCAGGACCAGCTGATTAGTACAGTATGTTCTTGCGGTGAATTTGATATGAAATGTGATCATCATATAGGCCAGTTTAAAATCCTCTTCTTCCATAATGACCCTGTGGAGCACCTTTTAAATAGTTTATGTTTGGCACAAAATTGTCTAAAAACCTAAACATAGAAGGAAATACGTATAATGCTTGATCAGTCCAAGAAAGTGAGGTCAGGTGCAGAGAAACTGGCAAAATTGATTTGCTATGGCTATAAGCATGAGATAAGAAAGATTTACATTTTCTACCAAAACACCACAGCCAAGTCAGAACATATGATTTATAGACCTGTATTGGGTTGAGAAGCTTTGGTTCAATTAATGGTTTGGTTAAAGTTATTTTAAATATTTATGGATTTGATATTTTGTTTGATTTGACTGGACTTTAAATGGACACACTTTCTTATTTTAATGCAATTTTTGGCACTAAACCTTTTAAACATCTAAAACTTTGTGCTCAATCAGGTTCCAAGTCCAGAACAAGAGATGCCAATAAGAATGTAAGATAAATAAATCACAAATGTGCAACAGATGGGGATTTGGAAGATTATTGCGTAACTGGAGAATTATAAAAACATGCATAAAGAGGTGTAAGAAGTATTGTCACAGAGTTGGTCCAAAGGAGGGCGCTATGCCCATGCAAATGAAACTGAACCACCATCAATACAATATTGCGATTAAATTTGTGTACGCAAAATCAAGAACATGGTTAATTTGAAAAGACAATCATTTCTATTGAATATATTTTACATTTTTATTGCTTTTTTAATTTACAATATCAATAGTGTGCATACTCGTCTATTCTTGTCCTATTTATTCTTTTTCAGTATTATTATTATTTATTCCTATAGAGGGCTAATTGATTAATATCTGTTGCTATTATTCTTATAAAAATGATCGAATAATACAAATTATTATCTCAACCTGTATTTTATTTTATTTTTGTTTAATTGGTTGCTTTTTAAGCACTATACTGTGTTGCACATCAGACAAATATAATTTGATCTTAGTCAAAGTATCTCGACCTAAAACTCTCTAGGTTTCAATAGCTCTTAGTCATGCAAAAGGGATGAACTGATGTGTTCAACTTTTCTTGAGGGGATCATATCCAGCAGAGCTCAGTGATCCGGGAGCGCGCTCGTCCCACTGACCGTCAAACGCTCTAGACGCGTTTCCACAGGACCTGTGCTGCAGTTCAGTGCGCACCGGCAATCGCCAGACTATTTCAGCACCGTTTCAACTCTGAATACGTACTGGATCCGGGTGACTGCAGTGACCATCTGATCTGGATACAGACTAAGTTACAGGTAAGTTTGTTTATCTTTAGCGGCATTTATGTTTAGCTCACTGTACAGGTGAACAGTCTGTCTGTTTGCGTTGATGCGGAATAAATAGGCTTAGAGAAGCGCATTACGCGCACCAAAACATTCACCTTAAAGCCATGATATACTTGATCAAAAAATTACTGCATATAAATGCATGATTTGAGTATAGGGTCTAATACTGCATTAATGAGTATTATATTAAAAGCACAAAGAGTTTCATTTTTAAAAGCCTCGTAGATTTACATTAAGAGCTGAATCAGTAAAAGTTTCTGCCGGTAGTTTATCTATAGAGCTGAATTCAACTTTACATGACAGACATGATTCTGCAGGTGAGGTCAAGTGAATTCGTAGCATATTTATTGTTACACAGAAATTTAATTCGAAGAGGAAGCGTTCAGGGGGCGATGAGATGCGGAGTTTCAGGAAGTGATTCATTCTACTCGTTTTGTTCGGATAATCGTGAAAACTGATCGTTTTAACATCATCACTGATTTATGTCGCTGTGTCTTATATAATGTTTATGTCATTGTTGTGTACATTTTATAATTGTTGTCGATGATAAAAGCTGTACGGATCTCTTACCGATTTTTTGTACCTGTCAGGAAAGGTAAGAGCAGCCAATGAGATTGTGTTACGTCACACAGGGGTCTACCGTCACGTGTACACTTTCTTTACTCTTTACTCTTTCTTTAAGCTGTGTTAACCCATGAATTACTGAAATGACTGATGAACATTGTCCGGTGCACTATATTATTGTTTTCTTTATTATATTATAGACTATTATTTGGTCTGCTTTTAGCCATTATATCCAAAATGTACAACCTTTTATTTATATATATATTTTATATGTAATATTTATTTATAGTATATATAAATGTATACATTTTACATAAATACTATATATATATATATATATAAATTATTATTAATAGTCATAGTAATAATAATAATAATTTCAATTTATTTAATAACAATTACAAATTTTAAACCCCATGACTACTACAGCCATTGCAAAAAGGAGGAACATAAAAACGATGTGTTCTGTCAATCTGTTGTTTTAGAGGAGGGCTTCACCTGTAGCTGAGGTGCCCTTGGTGCTGGTCATGACTGAATGCCAACATTGATCTTTATGCTGTGAAGAGACCTACATCTGGTGGATTCTACATTTGGGCCCAACCATGTTCCACTTGATCAAGAAAGATAAAGACAAGGAGAAGGATGGAACAAAAAAGGAGAAGAAAGAGAAAAAAGAGCGAATGTCTCAAGCCGAACTGAAGAGTCTAGAGGAAATGAGTGTGAGGAGAGGTTTCTTTCATCTTCATCGAAGCAGCTCTAAACGAGAGGCGAAAGGAAAGCTGGAGATTTCCAGCCCCATTCCCATCAAGGTGGTCCGAAACACAGAGCTCAGCCTGACAGACGTGGACCTTAGGAAACTCTATACACAGAGTACCATAACACCCACGAGCTCCAGCGATGACATTAAGCTGGACCAAGACGTCCGCCGGTCATCCATCAAAGAACAGGCAGTCAAGTACGACTCCATGACAAAGCAAAATTCCCAAGTCGAACAAATCTTGAAGCGGTTTTCTTTTTCACAGAAGAGCAAAGAGGAAAGCCCTTCAGGGTCGACTGCACCATCAGCGCAGAACTCCACCATTCCCTCACCTCAGGTAGAGGTCAAGGTATTCAATCCCCCGCCTCTACATACACCTCACCATCCCACCAGCCCTGCAAAGATGGTCCAGGTCCCAGAGATAGTGGACCAAACATTCCCAGCTGACTTGCGCTTGCCTGCTGTGGCGCCTCCACAGATTCCTGTACCAAGAGAGTTGGAAATTCAGCGCCGCAACACGGGCGATTTTGGCTTTTCCCTTCGTCGCACCACCATGGTGGACCAGCGGCCCGATGGGTCGCTCTACCGAAAGGTGGTTCACTTTGCCGAGCCCGGCGCTGGGAATAAGGACCTGACACTGGGGCTGGTACCAGGCGACCGTCTGGTAGAGATCAACGGGAGGAACGTGGAAAGTAAAAGCAGGGATGAGATCGTGGAGATGATCAGGCAGTCTGGAGACACGGTACGTCTGAAGGTGCAGCCCATCATGGAGTTGAGCGAGCTGAGCCGCTGCTGGTTGAGGAACACCAGAGGCCCGTACCACGATGTTTACGAGGTGAGATACACAAGCTTATGTATCATGGTTGTGATGTGTTGAATCACACAAAGAAGACTTGCTCTTGAGCCAAGGAGCAAATGTGAGTGGCATGGGTTTGAGTCTGGTTTGCAAGCTCTTCTTCTTAACATAATTTTCTGTTGTCTCCCCACCATCCACTAGGCCAATAAAACCCATTGAAATTGTGTCACTTTAATCTGATAAATGGTGTGTGTTTTTTTCTTCGCTAAAAGTGCTTTTTGCTGTTTCTCAGGAAAACCAGTACAGTTTGAGGGTACATACTGTATGTTTCAGCAACTTTTCAGATGAAAGATCAGTTTCAGCCTTGAGGTATTCTGTGAATTCAGAGAAATATGAGTGTTTCTGTTGACATCTGAAAAAAGAACGTTGTGCAGAGAGCTGTTGATGATGTCAGCCGTTTCAGCGAGACAGCTCCGGGGGTTAATAACCTGTCTAATGCGTATTTGTCACTTTTACCCATAATCCATCTGCATTGTGTAGAGTCCCATTATGAAAGACAGTAGAGTCCCATCTGAGTGGAACAAATGGCAAAAAAGCAGAAAAAGTCCATATTGTTATCTAATACACTGTTAAATGGAGAAGTTCTGAGTCAGAAAGTGTCTTTTATTTGTTCACTGAATGTTTCGTGATATTTACCCTATATAATTTCAAACAATAAAGCATGGCGCTAGCAACGCCAATGGCATGGGTTCGATTCCATGCATGAACTGATAAAATGTATACTTTCAATGCAGTGTAAGTCGCTTTGGATAAAAGCATCTGTGAAATGCATAAATATAGAATTTGGATGTAGATATGGATTGGAAACTATTCCTGAAGGTCTAATCATATCTTCTGGGATCTTTGTTTCAATGTTTGCAGCAGAATTAGAGACTTGTCTGCTCTCTTGGCTTTGCTGTATTCCCCAGTTGTTCTCTGACATATTTTCATCTCTGTATCCTGGTACAGCTGAGCGAACGGCCCCATTTCTGAATGTGGGCGAATCTGTTGGCCTGACAGCACTTATAGTATATTTTAGTCTTATGTCGTAAAGCATTGATGGGTCTTTTGATAACAGAGAGGAAAACACTGAAAGCGAACATTTCTGTGATTTTTTGTTGTTGTCAGTCTGAAGGTCAGGTGAAAGCAGATGTGATGTCAGTTGTGTCTGTTTCTGTAATAATCTGTCATCATGATTCGTCAGATATTTCATGTCAGTTGCACTCATCTCAAGACAAAAAATGTCACAAGTTCAAAGTCACGTAGGAAGTCACAGTGGTTACTTTTCCCCATTATTATTAGATGCTTGATGTTTATGCATAAATAGTACAAATCTTGAGTTCAGTTGCCTTAAATAATAATGTGTGCATATGTCAATTTTTGTTAAATCCTTAAAATGTGATATAAAGTTTTTGTATTATTTAAACGATTAGGAAAATACTTTTTTCTACACATTTTTATTCAGAACTGAATCTGTGCCTTGCATTCTCTTGTAAGTTATTTTTAGTAATAAGTAATTTGACAAACTAATCTATAATTATGACGTTATTTTGACTAATGATGACATCATTTTCAACTTATTCTAGTAGGTTGAATGTCACAGAAGATCCGGGACATATTTTTAAAGAAACGTCTTATTTTTTTCCAACATATTTTCAATGTGCCAGCATAAGGTTTTGCAAACAATTTAAACAAATTGAGAAAAAATGACAAATACAAATACTTTGTTTAGGCTGACGTCCAAACTCTGATATATTCATTTGATCTGGCTCAGCACGAAACCAGAGCTAAGAAGAGATTAAAGTGCATTGAGTGATTTATTTGTGATGTGTAGAATAACGTGGGGGAGGTCAAATATAGAATACTGTGTTTCTGTACTGTCATATTTGCTCTTTTGAACATTAAGAGGTTTATCCTAGTGCAGCTGAGAGCATCTGGCCAGCTCTTCACACAAACAGCGTTTCATCTAATGGAGTGAAAACAGGAAGAAACAGGTGTTTGAAGAGAATGTTTTGGTCAAGCTAATCAAATGTGGTGGCGTGGATCACACGAGTCAGCAATGGCCCCTGCTGAACCCGTTGCCATGTTGGTTTGCTTGTGTTTGGATAGGAATGTGTGTGGAGAGAACTCGGCCCTTTGCATGCCTTCTGCTAATGGATAACCAGTGAAATCTCTGTGTCAAAGTCTGAGTGTTATTTTAGTACACCATCAATTTTAAAGTATGTCAGACCATTAGAAATGTTTTATAGCCAACCCAGTGTAAAAAATACATAAATAAGTATATAATTTAATCAATAAGAAATAGCAATATTTCTTGGGAAACTTTCTAATAACTTTCATTAGAAACATTAACATGATTGCATTACATAATTAACATTAAATATCTGGATGGACCCCCTTTATATGTAAATCCCTTGTTGATAACTGTGGGCCTACATCTATTGAACCTTGTTTCCGCCGGGATAAAAAAATACAAAAGATTGTGACTTTTAATCTCATAATTCAGACTTTTTTCTTTTTTTTTTTTTACAGTTGTAATGTAAACTCTGAACCAAGTGATATGAACTCAGAAATGTGAAATATAAACCTTTAGTTTATATATTTTATATATATAGTTTTTAGCTCACAATTCTGAGTTTATATCTCGAAATTCTAACTTTTTCCTCAGAATTGCAGGGAAAATTGTGAGATAAAAAGATGCAAATACTTTACATTTTAAGTCTTTTTTTATGCGTTGGTGGAAACGGGCTCTCATATAGATCCTAATAGTTGCCTATATACATAGACATTTATGCAATCTAGATGCCTCTGGGCAAATTTGCCCCAATAATGCTGAAAAACCAGAGCACATCAATCAGAGGAGATGCTAAGAATCTAGGACATTCAAGTTATGTTGACCAGGTTTTCTCCTAGTTCCTGTTACCAAATACCAGTAACTCACAATATTAATTTTTATGAAAATGATACAAAACGCTCATACCGTCCATTCCAAATGGTGATGTTATCAGTAAATGTCAAATCAGCTGCTGTAATAAACTGCACCCTTTGTGATAAAGTGGCCAGTCTCAGTCAGCCTGCAGGGGGCAGGAGTCCCACCGGAGTTTTTACTGGCCCACTTTAAACCAAATACAGAAAAAGACATGGCACATTTGGGATTGGCCTAGAAGCGGTTATTCTATATAAAGACTGTGATTCAGAAATCTAGACTATGTCACTGTGGAGAGCTGCATGGTGATATTGCTTGTTGCAACTTAAATCTAGTCAAATGTAGACAGTTGCACACTTTTTATTTGTTGTTCAGTGCAAAAAGTTTTTCCACCTGCTTCTAACCACTTGCAATTAAATTGCAGAGGCTAAATTAACCAGAGGCTAAATGTCTTGTAATAGTGCTGCGGTCATTGTCGGTCTTAAAGATGCCTTTCTATGCAAATTATTATCAGTATAGATGATTTACTCACAAAAACTTTTTTTTTTGCCTGGTGCAACTAGCTTGACCTTTTTGAAAAGGAAAAATACAGCAAAGCCTTTGTTCCCGTTCACACCGTTACCTGATATGCAGTTCCTTTGAATTAGATGCTAAAATAGTGCAGACAGCATGTGCAAATAAACAAAACCACAGTGTTATTTTAGTATTACACTATTATAGTAATTATTAATATTTGTTATATTTATCCAAATTTTAATTAGCTTTTATTTTTTAAAAGTTTTAGTTCTTTTTTACTTTTGTCATTGTATTAGTTTATTTTATTTTATTTTTTTCTTTTCAGTTTTAGTAAATTTAGGACTTCAGTTTATTTCAGTTAGTTTCCAAGGCAACATTTCAAATATTAGTTTAAGCTTTGATTAAAGCTTTAATTAAAGTTAAGCTTTAATTTTGCCTTCATCTTTATTTCAATAACAAAAAGTCCCTGGGCACAAATCACTCGTAGTGAGTTCCCTCCAGAACTGAAATGGAAGGCAGATACTCTTATGTCATGCAGCATGTGTGGCTTTATGCCAGTAGAATGTCAGGTATTTGTTCAATCATGGTGTGTCTGTGAATGTGACAGGAAACGCTTGTGATTTTGTTTGACAGGTTTGATTGTTTGCATTGATAGTTACCAGACAGACAGGTTTCAGCTGCATTACTGTAGCCTGAAGAACTATACTTAAACACACACGATCTCCTCACACCCGCTCCAGCTCTCTTAGCTGAAGGATTGGCCTCTGAATGAATGAATCAACTCTAATCAGCATTTTGTGTGTGACTGCTGAATCTGTTGGGAAATCTGAACCCACAAATGTATTTAGGGATTTATGACTGAGAGTTATGAACATGTTTAGAAAAGGTATTCCTTGCTCTTTTGAAGTACAAGTGTTCAATGTACTATGTAGGCATTCTTTAAAGTTTACAATGCAATGCTTGCTAACCTAAAACCACCCACGCTTGTATATCAACACCTGTTCAGTATTCAGAGACTTGGCCTGATGGACAACAATGTGAACAATGCTGATGCGCAAAGGTTAGTCAGCCATAACCGAGATGATTGACACGTACAGTACGTGTAGTCTTAAAAGTGCACTTAGTAAATTTTGTTTATATTATGCTGGTTAATATTTTGGTTACAGCAATGCACTATTGGCAATAAGCTATGATTAATTTATTCAGTGCTCAGAAGTGTTTGAAAAAATAGTTTTAAAGAAGGAAATCAATACTTTTATTTAGCAAAGAAACAATAAATTGATCTAAAGTGCCTGTAAATATATATATATATATATATATATATATGTATTTTTTTTTTAATGCTTTTCTTTTGAACTTTTATATTTATATTTTATATTTATAAAGTATCACAGTTTCTACAAAAATATAAATCAGCACAACTGTTTTCAATATTAATAATAAAAAGAAGTGATAAGAAAGGATCATGTGACACTAAAGACTGGAGTAATTATGCTGAAAATTCAGCTTTGCATCACAGGAATAAATTACATTTTAAAATATAGTAAAATAGAAAACA